CTACAACGTACGTGAATCTTTTCATATACTGTCAATAACAGCCGAAACTGAAAGGCACCACTACTTTTATATATCGTCTTATTCGCGATCAACGCCCGTCATATCCTGCTGCGCAACACTTTATATGTGTCGTTGCTGCTTCCACTGCTTCAGTTGGTAAGTCCGTCATCGCATAGCACTGCCCTCACACTCTCCTTTAGGGTTGGCGAAATGATGTGCATAAGTGTTTCAAAGAAGTCACGAGAAGCGTGGCTCGAGAAGCAACTTTTGCAACTACCACCAATCACCAAAGGTGCTTCCTCGCCCACAGTGGGCTCCACCGCAGTCGATGACATCGATATTGAACTTGATGATTATGATGATCGTGTTATTGATGATAAAACCGAGCAGGCTGAGGTTTGAATTCCCACCTCCCTCTCACCAAAAAAAGACGTGCGCTATCATTTGTTGTTCGCTTGCCTCGTGATATGTTATGAAAGTGATCTTGCGTTCACTAGTCGGGTGCCAACTTGCTAATATCAAGGCAGAGGAGTGAACCTTTTTTTCAAGTACACGTCGTAACTCCACGCAGAAGTTCACTATAAGCAAGGCGAAGCATACATACCCTTTAGGGCTCCCACCAATCCCTTACTACCATTCCACGTCATACCGCACCTCGTTCAATCGTCAACTGCTGCGGGTCCACACACAACAAAAGCGGTTCCATCGAGAGGGCGAACCTATCACTCATGACTCAGAGAAATCCTTCAGCCGCCACAAGAAGATTTTTTCAACTCAGAACAAGTCAGTCACAGCATTGCCACCATGAACATAATAGTGCATGCATGAGTGTGCTCGCGGAACGAAACAAATAACATAAACGATAGTCGCTATGCTAGAATGAGGGAGAACGAACTTCCGACTGACACTGGTAACGTCGGGCAACTATGCCACCCCAAGGAAAGCATTAGTACAATCAGTTCCTCCGATTGGGGCAACTATGCCACACCAAGACAAACCTCAGTACTATCAATTCCACTAAGTGGGCAACTATGCTACCCCGAGATAAGTCTTAGTACAGTCAGGTACTCCGAGCGGGGCAGCTATGCCACCCCAACCTATGCCTTAGTAAAACCAATTACTAGAGGTGAGGCAAGTATACCAGCCTAAGATATGTCTCAGTACAACCAATTTCTTCACATAGTATGCATCAGTTCAAACCTGGGGCCACTAAGCCACGGTGGCATTGCCACCGCGAGATATGCGTTGTGCGAATAATTTCGCAAACCCAAAAAACAATTCTCGCCGAACGACCAAAGCAACTTCAATTTTGATGAGCTGCAACCAATCAGTGCCGCTGCTAGCGAGGCCGGTTTCTCCCGGGGGGTCGGTATGCCATAGCATACCACAGACACCACGCAATACCTTATCCTGTGCCGTAGTGCGGACCACGTCCAGATCAATGATGGCCCCTCAGTTACTCGATACCGCGCATTGTTATGATGATGCTGTCGGTCTCTTGTAGCGTAGAAGTTCAACCACTATTCGCTCGATGACCAAGCCGGAACAATAACACGGCGGAAACCTTTAGGAATTTACACGAAGGCTACTATGCGATTTTCACTATCAAGCACGCACGTTTGAGGATCAAGACCCTATCCTGTCCCGGGAAGGGCAAGTTTGAGGGATTCGAAGATGATGCGTGATAGGAATCATTCTACTTGTGCCTGCCTAAATTTCCTCCTCCCAAAAATCAGAGCAATTCCAACTCACTGGGAAGCTTTTTACTTATTGGAGTCTGTGAATTCCTTAGAGCTCGCCTTTGAGGAAGATGACAATAGAATAAGCGCCTTTAGATGACAATAAGCTTCCCTGAAGAGCTTCTTAGTAACCTTGATGTCATCCGCCGATTGAAAGACTCTTCCAGGGTCAGTCGCATCTTTGCCTATTGCTTCACTGTAGTCACGTACAACCTTGCCAGTCACCACACCGAAGAAGGCTCCGAGAGGTAACTTCTCGCGATGCACCGCTATCTTGAGCTGGTTATTCATAGACTCAAGTCCATTGTTGGTCGAGGGTAAGCGGGGGGCATATCCCTCGTACCAACAGCTATGCCATGGATGATCAATCCAACTTTCCTTTATGTAATCAACGACATCAGGTGCACTCGGTCGATACTCCTCCATGAATAAGGAGAACATGCCTTGAAAGGCCTCGTATGTGACAGCGAGCTGAACGTATGATAGATCCCGTAGAAGATGCCATCGTAATCTCGCGTCGATCTTCAGACTATCCATTTTACTCTCGACATTCTTACGCACATGGAACCAGCACATGCAACGCTTCACGCCCGGGAAGATGAGGTTTGCTGCAATGGTGATTGCCATGGCTCCATCAGCCATGATGAAGGTAGGTGCATGCATTGGCAAACCCATCTGCCGTGCCCTATATTCATGGATCTGAGAGCTCTGCGAAGTCATCCTCCCTCTCATTGCCGCACAGGCCAAAGCTATGAGGAAGCAGTGATTCTTATAAT